AGAGAGAGAGAGAGAGAGAGAGAGGGATTTATGGATGTACCTGTTTCCATTTGCTCACAGTACATGTACTGTTCTTGCTTGAATGGATATATGAAGCTATTAGGGCTCAATCTTCTCTTGCTTCTTATCTCAAATGTTTTACGACATCAGGCAAAGCTCATATTTAATATTGCAGTCTTCTTCATAGTTGTGTGTCTAATGCGCATAGCACAGCTGTGCCTTCTCAAAGAGAAGCTGTGATTCAAACAGAGAGGTGAATCACGCATCCCAAGCAAGCTTTTAAACACTGCTGTAAAAGGCTAGTCTTTCTTGTAGACTCGAACAACCAAGCCAAACCAACCACAGGCTTTGAAGCACATGCAAGATAAGGAAGAGTACACAGCCACGAATCATCATCCCCTGTTGCTTCTCTTTCCAAGTCAAGTCCTAGTACTCTCATTCCTCGCTTGTCGTCTCATCTTTCTTCCAACTCATTCCAGTGATGGAGACCTTTGCTATCGATGAAAGCCAAACGTGACTCAAAGCACATCACCCCCATCTCACACACCTCACTTTCAGACAACATAGGGCAGGTATAGACTCCATCAAGTGAGGCCACCCCTTCCCAAGGCAGTAACTTCACATGGCCACCTTGGTGAAGCCATCGGCACATCCAAGGAAAGAGATGCCCAACGCTTCCTGAAGTAACCAAATAGAGCATGTGCCAACCTCGGCCCTTTGACGGCGCCATCTGCCTCAGAACCCATGGCCAGGAACTCCCCGGCCATGACTCCTGTTCTCCACGGGGATCAAATTCCTGGCACGCGGCCATTGACGTCGCTGTTCGGAGCTGCGGACCACTCGTACTTCTGTCCTCTGCGTGCACGTGGTCGATTAGGTCGGTCGGCGCCATCGTCTTCCAGCACCTAAGAATTAGGCCCATGTACGAACACTTGATGCCCATCGATGCTCGAAGTGTATACCTGGAATGTCTTGTGATGGTCGTATCTCGCGGTTTCGCAGTCTATGGCAACGATTCAAGCCGATGTCTAAAACGAACAAATAGATAAGGAAGAAGTGTCTGAGTTGCTCTGCTTCCATCTTTTTTTACTCTGTATGTCACTCTTCTCATTGAGCTGCTCTGCTTTCAACGCCAGTTCTCTCTCTTCTCGATACAGGAAACATGATTTACACCGACAGGACTGCGATGCCTGGCGACAGTACTTAACGTATGCAAAATAATTGCTGAGGCAATCGTGTGGTTTTGCGGCGAGTATGACACCAGCAAGAGTGAACATATGGCATTAGAATCTGCACGTTGCACTTGTCTGGGGAGCCTCAGCTCAGGGAAAACAAATAAGAAGCTAATCAGATGAAATGTTTGCGATCAAATTCCATTACAATCATGTACAGAAACACACACACACACACACACACACACACACACACACACTTCTCTCTCCTGCTTCGCTTCAGATGTTCACGAATTAGGACACAGTTTTGCAGCATTAAATGAAACAATCAGTAAGAGAAAACATCCATGAAGATTATCTCAAAATAAATTAAGTTTAATCATTTGTGCTTTGTACAACAACGGACAATAACTTTGCAGCAGTATTACCAATCAGAATCATGCTACAAACAAGCTCTTCCATCGTTCATATACATATCTCTCGTCCATAACATCGCATGATTTATTTCATATAATCATCATCGGGTGATTACATCGACCACAACTCGTCGAACGTCCAGAAGTTGTCATCAAAATCAATGAAGAATTGAGGTTCGATGCCATCAGTGTTCATGATAGTCGGCTCATCAAGGAGACTTGGCTGAACTATCCCAGCATCGACAATATGTGTTTGGCTAGTGCTGCTATTAGCTTCATCAATAAGAATGGCATTCTGGAACTGAGGCGAGTCACTCTGTTTCACTCTCTTCTGTATTCTGGTCCTCCAGTAGTTCTTGATCTCGTTGTCTGTCCTCCCGGGCATTTGTCTCGCAATTTTGGACCACCTTATTGGAGAAAACAACGGCATAATTAGCTAGGGCTGTACAAATAAATGGAATTTATAATATATTGCTACAACAATCAATAAACTACATGCATGTATCTGTCGGTTCTTATTCTTGGACTCGTCAGTGATGCTGACAGCCTACAGCTAGTATGACATTACTCTGTTTCTTCTTGCCATTGTAATGATTAGCTGCCATATCATGTTTGCCATGAAGTAAGGCATGAATTGCCACACAAAGAAACAAGCGGCATCTGAAACTTACAGTAGCGTTTGCACATTCCTCTGCAAAAACAGAGAGGAAGAGAAACTAGACTTTGCTGATTTCTGTGCGTGTGACTCCATGCACGTGCTCACTTGTGGCTGAGCATCCTGGCCACAAGTATGTGTTTTCCATGCGTGTCGTGCTGACCTTCAAGACCACTAACCTTGCGAACATGCAAGAAAACATGGGCGTCCCCATGGAATCTTTACGCTGTTGGCTCACCTGTTTCCCCACCTTGCCTGGAGCTCCATGATCAGGAGCTGCTCCTGCGCCGTGATGTTACCGCGCCGCAAGTCCGGCCGCAGGTAGTTGAGCCAGCGAAGCCGGCAGCTCTTCCCCGTGCGCTTCAGTCCTTCTCAACGAGCACCAAGAAGCAGTGAGAGGCAGAGGAATGGAAGAACGGCGACCGTAGACACACGACGTACCTGCAGAACGCGCGAGGCTGTTCCAGACGCCCTCGCCATGGTTGCCTATGTAGTTGACGAGGATGAGGTCCTCCTCCATGGTCCACGGCCCTTTCCTGACGTCGGCTTCTTCGCCGCTGTTCACGCTCTTGTTACTCATGTTGCTGTTACCTTTCCCGTCCATGGAAGAGGAGGGAAGAGGAGAGATAAAAGAAAGGGGAACGACGCAGGGAGTGTAACAGGAGATATGGGGATGGGAATGGTGAAGGAGGTGGTTGCAAGGCTTTATAGAGATGATAACATGATTGTTTACACCAAAGACACTACTGCCCCATTTATAGAGAGATTACCAGTTCACTGCACGAGCAGTCGAAGCATGTCACCCGTCTCTCTCTCTCTCTCTCTCTCTCTCTCTAGGTTGAGTGTCGAAGGAGATGAAGCAAACTTTACAGTGCGCACACGTGTCTGTCGCACGCGGGTGAAGGAATCTTCCGAACCAGACCTGGTATTGGGTCCCACGGTGAAAACAGATATTATGATTAGTCTTCGTGTGGACCCGGCGTGAGCCGGGCGACACGCACCATGTGCGCAATAGAACCTCTCGCGGACACTTCCCCTATCGTCATTATAACAGCCGATACAATAAAGATAACATATGTTGTACATAACATGGATTATAAAGGAGGTTTCCTCACCGTTATATATCGCGTGACATCGAGGAAACCATCGAGACTTTGCCGCTCCTCCCGCCATCGGCGTCGGTCGCCTCGATCTCATCTTCCATCCGACCCCGCTCACCCCCACCGGCACACATCGGAATCTGGTCGGCCTTATCCTCCTCGGCCTCTTTAGAAGGTTCAGTTCTGACTTTTCCCTTGTCGTATCTAACTCATTTACATTCGATTTCTTGGAAGGAAGAGTAGTTCTGATGCCCTATCTCCAACTCCTTTGATCTTGTCGTCATGGTTGAGAAGGGTTTTTGACGATTGGTATCATTGTCGAAACGACAGTTTGTTCTTTTCCGGCCGAAATTTAGCAGCCCCCTGCGATTGCAATCGAGTTGCCCAAACCCATCACTTGGTCAGGGAAGATAAGGTGTTAGCAACTGCGGAACATGACCATCTTGGTCGGGCTAAGCCTTGGCCCATCGAGGCGAGTCCGTTCTGTTTCTTGAACCTTTGCAAAGGCTTAGGTCACATTTGAGAAGTATATTTGGTGATTAGGGGGCAATGAGCAAATTACGGGAATGGTTTAGGCTTCGATTAGGAGTTACTATTGTTTGGAAGTGTTTTCATGTTGATCGATTTACATGACATATGGATATATGAAGCCATCAAAAAATGCAAGAACCTTAGTTGCTCATAGAACAATGTGCTTCAATGACAGTGCCAGTGCTGTGTTTGTGGGATCTGAAATTGACACTTTGATATTTCAGCATCCTATCAAAAGGTTGTTGGAGAATTAAAGATTTAAATCATGCAATCAATGTTGTAGTAAGAGTAGACATTTAAATATAAGTTAGAAATCGAGTCTAACGAAGCAAACTTTGCTCTGCCATGAGGATGCGTGGCCCCTTTGTGAAGATTGTTCCCCCTGGATTCGTCCTATGGTACAACCCCGATATTTGTGGTACCTGAACTAATCGGTGCTTTTCATTTTTGAACTATTTAACTTGGAACAAATACCAGTCCATGAAGTAGCTTCAAGTAAAAAACCGAGGCTAGAGTTTGATAGCATTTATCAATAGCATTTGAAACAGAGTTCCTTATTTTTCACTATTCACATGTTTCTTCATTCAAAATCAATGAAAAGGTTTCCTTTCCTTCCATAATGACGGTAACAGAGGTGGTTCTTTTGAATGTTCTTGTTTAAGTGTAATGCTTGGCATTCTTATAAACTAGAACGTTTTTTATTCCAACAGAAAAGAAGCTCATCAAGTATGGGAACTGAACCAATTAGTTATCTTCTATATAAAGAGAAGCTTACAATATATATATATGGATCTAGAAACATAGAGCAACGCATTTTGTCACCTTACGAGCTTTAACTTTTACTACTTTGCTGGTGCATAGATATGCCTACACTCAGAAACGGACAATGGGAAAATAAGTGGTTAAGGCTGCTATAGATTTTATAATCAAGGGATAAAACTACAGGGAACCTCATGATCAAGAGGATGCTATGGTTAGCTACTGATAGGTGTTGAAAGGTGGAGTGTTTATAGAATCATATCATATTCTTTATATCTTTCATAGTTGCTCTTGTTTCCCTCCCCTTATTCTGTCTTAGGCAGCAGAGGGTGCAGAGATGTAGTTGATATTGTTTTCTGACATGGCCACCATTATCGAAGAAGGTAAGCAGGTCTCTCCTTCTGGGACTGCATCCTCTGCAGCAAAGTCAAGAGACTTATCATTGTAAATACCCCACCATTTTGCTACTAACATCTTAATATCCTCCCTGTCCATGTTAGCTTCCTTTCCAGTGTACCTCCAAGGCTTGGAACCCTATATCACCATCATTGGAAAGCAACAGCAGGTCGATAAATACAATATTAATTTGTGGAATGTTGGATTATGATGCTGGTACTTGTGATAAGTGACTAATGTAGCACTTACCGCGGCACAATAGTGGACCACCTTGACATTTTCAAGCTCAACATTTTCAGGGTGTCGCCATAGCATGGCTAGAACCAGATTGTAGATGAGCGGAATTGGCTTGTAGATTTTCTCGAAATACATGTTCAGGAAGTCCTACAAAAATGAGGTCAGAAATAGAGTGAAAAATACATGGTTCTTAATATTTTCCAATAGACTAAATCGAATTCCAGTTATCCTCATATTTGTCAGATAAGAAAAACTGTCGATGCTAACTCTACGCAAGGAAACCACCGATGTCATTGTCATAATTGTCACATTCCCTAGCTTCATAATCTCTATAAACAACATTAGCTGTAAGGAATATTTGCACCAGTCGCAAGAGATAAGGCAGGATGTAGAGAATATATGGTCAATTTTTATGCCACATGTAGTTGTTGAATAAGAAAAAATGTATAGTTTTGCTGACTTAACGGTACTTCCCTATGTCCAAGGTTAGAAAGACTCCTATCTCTTTAGGGACTGGAGCAAGATGCTGGTTATAGGATAATGATTGTGTGGATCTTACATAATGAAAGCATGTGTTAACCTGTTTCCAGATTTGCATGGTTCATAATTTTGTTACCTACCTGGAGTGGGTTAATTTTGTAATATCTCAGGTGTTTACCTAGAAGTAGAAATTAATTAAGTAGAATAACTAAATGAACTGTGTTTTTGTTCTAATTATTGTTACGGTTGGACTATCAGATTGTTTCATTTGCATGTCTAGTTCTTGATCTTTCAAGTTTCAACTCAAAGTTCTGTTTGCGAGAATGTTCTTCTAATCTGGTCCACTAACTTATCTCCTTATCTTACTAGAATTTTTTAGTTATGTAAATAATCCTGTTCTATATTTTGTATCAAACTCCAAAAAATTTAACCCAGTTGGAGGACTCACCTGCTCCGCAAAGGGAGTTGGAGGTGTTGTCATAAGAGTCTCAAGAAGGCCATCGTAAGTTGGTCGAGCTGGTTCAGATACAAACATCCCTGCATTGAAGTACAACGGAGGAGGGGATCCCATCTCAGCAGGCCATGCCACCTTGTCCGGACACTGCTGGCAATAGCCAATTGAGTACTGTCGAGAGTGGCTCCATGTCTTCTCGCAGAAGCAGTCCATCACTGCATAGAAGTAGCCATCGGGCATGTCGAACAGGTGATCGATGTTGTCATACACTTGGATATCTGCATCTAAATATATTATCTTGCTGTACTCCACAAACTGCAATTAGCAGCAACCAAGGAGTCATCATCATTAATTAGACATCATTTGCGTAACTTTCTGTAGGGTTCAGCTTCCTCCATATAGATACCCGAAGAGAAAGGAAAAAAGGAACATGAATGACAACCTAAAGAAGTATCGTTTTGGCTCACTTACATTCCAAATCCGCAGCTTGGAGTAGTTGATGACATAATAAGCCATGGCAAACTGCACTTGGTTCTCAGGCGGGTAAACGGGTTCGATCTCCCGAACAGTGCAGCCCTGGGCTTGAAGCAATCGGCGGTGAGCCTCGGGCACATCGGGCAGCACCGCCACCACCAAAGGGTAAGCACTCTTCACCTTTCTCAGGCCTTTTGCCAGCCCTACCACTCCCTTCACATAGTCGCCGTCCCCTGCCAGGAATGTTACGAAAGCTCTCTTCTTCACTTGGCCTCCAAGCGATTCTGCAGGAGCACCGGAGGCCATGGAAACAGAGACTATGGAAGGTTTGTATGTTCCTCTCTTCTGATTATGGACAGCATGCCACCTTAAATAGATCAATTGAATCTATTAAGCCCTTTATTCTCTTTATTTCTCTTTTACTTATTTGAGAGGATTGTAGCAGATGACTTCCCGTTTGTTGACAATTAGTGTTTCGTTGGCAACTGGAATGAACGGCTGTCGATCATTCAAAATGTGGTGGTTCTGCAGAGTGGAACGACTTGTGGTCAATCATGTTCTGTGGTAGAGGTGGAATTCGAGTTTTTCTGTGAAGCAGACTTGGAAGAAAGTTCCAGCAATTCTAGGAATTAACACGGTGCATTTCTGTGCTCTCTTATTTCTTTCTTTCAATTTTGTACTGCACGTTCATCCCTGTCAAGTAACAGCACCAGAAGAAGGCCCAGCGACCACGGAACCCTTGGAATTTCTATCCGTTCCGGAGGAAAGGCCACCGCGGGCCGGTGTCCCGCGCCTCGGCCTCGTGGCAGAAACACGATCGCGACGCTGTGGTCCATCCCAAGTGCTCGACTGTTCCAATGGTAGGGAGAGGCGGCGCGGGCCGGTGCTTCTCTGTGATTGGTGATCCCCAAGGCAGACTCAAACCCAGGCGGTGAATTTGGAATCTTTTCTAGTCCGATCTGAGGAATATTATTTTCGGAAGGCAATTTTTGCCCAATGATTTGTTCCCCTTAATTTTCTTCTCTGCTTATGCAATTTAAACATTCATATGATTTGTTTGTGTTTTATATATTTCTGAATCCAGAAAAAATGATTAACAATATCTGACCTAACCTCAAATCAATTCGAGTTGGATCCAAATATAAGTTAATAGTTTGATGAAAATTATCTATACTTGACTATGAAATATTGAAAGAAAAAGTCATGTCATAAGAACCATATTCTTGAATTCGTGTCATATATTGCAACCGTAGTTTCTTTTTTCCTAATGTCAACTATCGTTTGTATGTGTAGTGTATTGTGTTTGTGCTTAATCCGTGCAAGTCTTGCACATATGTATTCTATTTATTTTAGACGAATGATAGAGATGTAATTGTGAGAGTATAGACTTCATTCTCTCGATCATTTATGATAAAAGTTGATAGAAAGTATGTCATTTATAGTAAATGTCACAAAAGAAAATTTGTTGGAGGCAATTGTAGATTGTCTTGTATAATATTTTATAAAATATTTTATCTATTTATAATTAGATATAAAAGTTTATCTCCAACATAAAAAAGGTGGGTTTTCGTTTTTTTGACTATTAGTGTCCACACTTATACACATTAGGTTACTAACTTGGGTATTGGAGGGATCGGATTGGAAAATCTTTTTCGACCTCAATTTTCGTACATGTGACATTTTGAAAACTTGACATTTTTACCTCGGAGGCACTTTGGACAATCCTGTGCATACGAGTTCAAACCACGTCGAGCTAACCAAGATGTTAATGATTTCTTCTCTCATTGTTTTGGTGCTAGAAGGAGGATTCGATGTTATATGAATTCTCGCCCATCGACCTTTTCAATAAACGCTCGAGGGAAGAGACTTTACCTTCGACTCATAGTACTTTTACTCAATAGGAGCAGCAATCACCCTTTCCGCATATAGATGCATCTACCTCGGCACAAACATTGATATGATATTGGCATTTATTCAATGACTTAGGCCTCTCACCCCCGAGGATGACCCCTAGCCATATTCTCATCCTTGTCGATGTGTTATGGAATCTCATCTAGTAAGTGCAAACCCTAACAAGCATGATACAGATCATCGTTCCACTTTTGCCCTAGTTACCCCAACAAGCTACACCACCAACTCAACCGCGATCATTGACTTAACCACTACCAACACCGACACCCTTCAAGGTTTCCCCCACCCGATGTGGGGTTGACATCCTATGAGCACTTGAGACCTATCGAACTAAGGGGGCAATTTGGTCCCCGATCGTAAAATTCAATGTACCACACTTCCCTGCCTGAATCCGAAACCCAATCTGTCATGGACTTAATTGATTTTGACTAAGCCATACGGTACCCTTTGTTAGGATCGGAGTGGCACTAAGAGGGGGGTGACTTAGTGCAGCGGTAAAGTACGATAAACTTTTGACGATTTAAACACTTTCAGAAACTTCGTACGATAAAAGCAACGTTTCGTTTGAAACCGTTTCGATTGCGTTTTAACTTGAAGGAATATGTAAGAAGGAGACAAAGAAGTAGAGCATCAAAGTGAAGATGGTTTGCAGTAATATAAATGACAATAAGATAAACGCAAACCGATTTATAGTGGTTCGATCATGCGACCTACATCCACTTACGAAGCCTTCTTCGATGAGGCTCCCAACTTCCACTAGCAAATCATTTTGAAGGGGAAGGACAAATACCCCTCTTACAACCTTTTACAAGTGGTTCACTCTCTTACAAATTTTGAAAGAGAAAGAAGGAGGTGAACACTCAAGCAATTGAAAACAAAAACTTGCTAAAGACTTTGCTAAGACTTTTATCTCAATCTCTTGCTTCTCAAAGGTTGTGTTCTCAGCTGAGAATTGAGGGGTATTTATAGGCCCCAAGAGGATTCAAATTTGGGCTCCAAATTTTGAATTCTCTTGGGTTCCCGAGGCTGGCGGTGCCACCACCTGTCAGTGTCTGACACTGACAGTGTACTGGCGGTGCCACCGCCTAGTCCGACGGTGCCACCGCTCAGTTCTCAGGTTCTAGGCGGTGCCACCGCCTACACTATTTCAGCTCACTAGTTGGGCACCAAACTTGGCCCAAACCAGTCCGAACTCGGGCCCAATTGGCCCATACTTGGGTTATAGGATTAACACCTAATCCTAACCCTAATTAACGTGCTAACTATGAATTTAAAGACATTTTCTAAGCTATTACAAAGTCCGTAAGTCAAGACTTCTTCCGGCGAGCTTCCGACGGTCTTCCGATAAACTCTCGGAAGCCATTATGCGGACTCCCGGCAAGCTCCTAGACTTCATGATTTGATCTTGGCGAGTTCCAACGAGCTTCTTCGGCAAGCTCCGATCTTTCTCTTTGAGCTCTGCGAACTTCCAACGAACCTTCCGGTGAACTTCCGAAAAACCCTTCGGCAAGCTCCCTACTCATTCTCGGCTAGTTCCGGCAGCATTCCCGACGAACCTTTGGACTTCCGTCGAACTCTCAAACTCGCAACGAATCCTTCGCGCTTGACTCTGGCACTTTGTTTCGCTTTATGTCTTCATTGTTATCGTAGTTAATCCTGCACACATAAGCCAAAACTCTACTCCGATCTAGACAATTATTATAACGTGAATTGACATTCTTTTGCCCGGCACGTCATTGGTTGGCACTTCGTCTGATTCTTTAGCGCATCGTCCTCTCTTGCGGCTTGTTGCCCAATCGACGATTGACCTCTGCAATCCCGATATCCTTGGCGCAATTCCACTCTCCTTGGCCCGATGCCCGACGTCCGAAGCCTTCTGCCGTCTAATATCCTGACGTGATCTCCTCCGACGCAATGTCAATTCCTCCTGCGTCAACTGTCTAATCCTGATCGAGTAGACCTGCATCACTCAAAATGCTTTTAAACATCTAAACACAATCAATTAGTTTCATCATCAAAATCTGAGATTCAACACCCTTGTGTGTCCATTCGCAAGGGTCAACCACCTCGAAACCTCCCATGGTCCCTTAGGACCTACAAAAGAGAAAACATATTAGAGAAAGTGCCTCACTCGGGATCTATAAGCAATCATTTCAGAAAATACTTCATAGCTAATGTAAATTATAAACATACTTTATAAGCTCTGAACGGTCACACAACAAAGGATCTAAAATGATCAACTACAGACCGAACATCTCTCATAAGTGTCCACATAACACAACCTTTATTTACAAACCTAAAACAGCCACTAAACCTAACTAAAATGAGGTTGTTAAGCCTTCGACCATCCCTCTACATATTGTGTAAAGCATGAACAAACCAACAGACATGAACATACATAAGCATTACATCGAACATCCTATTTATAATTTTGTCCATGACATTCTCCCCCACTTATTCCTTCGATGTCCTCGTTGAAGCCTTTACCGTCGCTATAACTCCTTATCTTTGTTGAGTCTTCAATCTTTTGTACCAGCTACAATATGCCTCCTGGCTCCCAGCTACTCCTTGCCACTATTTTTGAGTAGTCGAACTTTTGATCCGTCATACTGCTTCAACTCACCATTGACTTTGACTCTAATATGGGGTTGGCTGAGTTGTGTTGATTCCTATTGGTTCATACGAATCCTTTAGATAAAGGAAAAGACCATCCTTATTATACGCTAATCTCTTAAATACCTCATGCTACTTGAACTGGGTGGATGCTTGTTGAAGTTTTAATGAGCATCACACTGCAAACTTTTAAAGTTTTTAGGTCATTCCTCCACAAAATTTGTCTATCGACTTTTCTTTCACTTAGTTGTCACTTCCAAGTAGGTTCGCATCGCTTCCACTTTCGATTGGCATTCTCTTAGGAAATGAAGCGGATAATCTATTCTCAGTAGCATTGATCACCATTGGTGAGAATTTAACAACTATTATCTTTCATTTGGTTTCTTCGAATGGTCTTTGAATATTTGTAAAGCCCATCTGTTGGATAGATAAGAGAATTGGGATACTCGGTTTCGCCCATTCTTTTAATAGTTGAAGGAGGTCAAGCATCCACCACTCTAGTGGTGATCCATACAGCAGGACTACGATGATACTCCTTAAGTCTCCAATCCTACTATCTCAAGAGGAGAAGGGGAGAGGAGAATAAGAGGTGACAACCAAAAGAGGTTCTGGCCTATGAACCATTAATTCTCTCCTATTTATAGAGGTCACTTATCAACATAACCCTAATGGATCCTACTCTATTGGGTATTGGATCTCCATTCAACTACCCAAGCCTATTAGATTAGTGGATTTCTATCTAATAATCTCTCATTAGCTCTTATTGGATCTCATCCATAGGATCGAATAATTCAAGGGCTTACTGGATATCTAATAAGATAGGGGCTTCGACAAATATCGCATATTCGAATCTCTACTCATCGCAATGCCTATCATATGTGTGTGACTCTCTACGCCCAATATCGAGCTGGTAGTGAGTCATACCTGTCAGAACTTCTTCTGAATAAGTGAATTATTATCTCCATAATAATTCACTTGACTCATCAATTGTGGACGTACTAAGCCATTACGTTGTAGTCCTTAGACGATATAGAGGAATTCAATCCATTGGGCATGTTTATCCTCAGTTACCATATACCTATAGTCTCTCATCCATCTAATATCCCAAAGACCGTATACCGGGCATGGTGTTGTCAAACTCATATGGTTTCTACTCGAGTCTCGCTTTAATCGAATTCTCCGAGAGAACTCTTTCTCTCTCAATCTGAATGACCCTAGCTAGGGATTTGTTTGAGCAAGAACACATGAGATATTCCTCTCATTATACCGAGCGTTGATGATCCTCTATCAACACTCAATAGTCCTCGGAAGGTTGGCTGCCACTCCCGATAACTAATTGTGTTAGATTTAGTACTCATATAGGATATCACTGGTATCTCAAATCTAAGGACCAGATGCACCATTGGGACTATGAAATTATTGTCTAATAATAAGACATCATCAACCATCCAACATTCCGTAAGAAGTTAAGAAGTCTGACCTTGCCTATG